CTAGAGATTGTACCAACAGCTAAAGAGTTGGATGCAAGAGTACTGAAGGACATATACTTTCGTACGTTACAACCATTCCAACCATCATATGGTTGGCGCAGTATTTGGGCGGCAGAAGACCTAATTCTAAAAGGATTGAGACGGACCATCGGGAATGGAACAACAACCTCGGTTTGGTCAAACAAGTGGATTCCGGATGTAAATCCTCGAGCGGCAAAATGTACTAATAAGAATCCCCATCCTTTGATGAAGGTCTCCGAACTCATAAATCGGGACACCCGTTCGTGGAAATTACCGGCATTACAAACCTGCATCTAGACGGAAGATATTCTACTGATACTAAGTTTACGCATAACTCCAACGGTGCACCAAGACAACTACTGATGGCATTACACTAAACCATTACATGAAGATATTCTGCGGTCATATGAGATTTCTCGGATTTCTAATGATGCGGACACGCGCTTCATATTACAACAACCCTCGATCAACCATCTCAAGGCGCAAATGTGGAAGATTCAAGCCCCAAACTAAATTCGTCATTTTCTATGGCAGTGCCTAACCGGGTCAATTGAGGTAAATGAACGACTTGCATATAGACATTTGAATGTCGACAGACAATGTCCATGATGTACATTCCATGAGGAAACCGTATTCCATATGCTATTCTCTTGCCCGCCAGCCTTCCAATGCTGGCCACTCTCCAACATCCCACTTCCCATGAATGGGAGATCATGCGAGAGCCTAAAAGAGTGGTTTGACCATTTCTTCTGGCGCCTACCACATGATACAGAGACGGATGAAGTCACTAGAACCTTCCCTTGGATTATATGATATATCTGGAAGGCACGAAATGATAAACTCTTTAAAGCGTTTGATAGAACCCCGCAAGACGTCTTGGATATGGCTATGAAAGAGGCAAACGAATGGTTCCGGATGAACTACCCGAAGAAAACGATTGCATACGATCTTGTAGTTCCAGAGACTACTGAGTTGCCTCCACCTGCATTCACTTGTTGGGTAAATAGATCTTGGAAGCATGATGAACCTACTATTGGTGCAGGGTGGGTTTTGGAACTCCAGGATGGGACATTTGTTCTACTTGGCCTTTAGGGTTACCGGCAAAGTCTTTCGGCTTTATACTCGGAATTCTATTGTCTGTTGTAAGCTATGAAAAGTCTTATACGAAAATAGCGCTATTGCACTCTTTTCGTAATAGATTCGGCGGGGCTCACCAAGATGATCGAGGTTCCCGATAAATGGCCTAGTTTCATAGTGAAACTTAAGGAATTATTTGTTCTAAGAGAATCTTTCTCTGAATTTCAAACTTATTCATCAACGACGAGATAGGAACATGAAAGCCGACTTGCTTGCAAAGACGGTACGACACATAAACGCTTGTGTTTTCTTTCATTGGCACTTCTTTCCCTTATTAGTTTTCAGATACAGGCAATGAATTTAGTTAATCGATAGGACAAGTGTGTTTGTGACAAAAAAAATTGTTTAGTTCAGACCGAATTTTAAAAAATAAACGCAAATATTTTTCGGATCAAACCGAGTCAAACTTAAATATATGTGGACTTTACGAATTTTTGGGCTAGGCTAAACCATATGGTAAATTATACCGGACTAATCCGATTGACATGCCTACATGCAATCATTTTTAATTGAAGATCCCATTAGCTGAATGATATTAAATCTTAGAGCATCCGTATTGGTGAATTTTGGTGGGTATCATTAAATATAAAATTATTAAAATTTAAGTAAAAGGAAGAAATAGAGTGTTTTTGGTTGAAATAATGGGGTGTATTGAAATATAAAATTAATAAATTTGAGTAAAGAGAAGAGATAGTGGGTATTTTTGGAGAGAGAGAGTATCAAAAGTATCAAATAGTTGATACTTTCGAAGAGAGAAAAAGTGTGTTTTTAATAATTTTATATTTAAAGAGAGTATAAAATTAATAAAAGTTGAGTAAAAAGATGAAAAAGAAGGTATAAAATTAAGTAAAAAAAAGAGAGAGTGTGTTTTTAATAATTTTATATTTAATGATACCTTCGAAAATTATGGATACAGATGCTCTTAGACCACCTAAAACACTCATTTTCGCACCAGTACATGCATTTTTAAATATTTGTAAGTTAAAAAAAAAAAGAACAACAGTGAGATAATTACTGAAAAGATGCTCTTTTTTACATAAACAGATAAACTTTTATAATTGAGTTAGAGGTAACCACCGACCGTCGTATAGAAATGCCGTAATGAATTTCAAATTTCAGATCGAGGCCCACGACGACCGGCGCTGAAGAAATAGCAAATCGGAGATGAGCGGCGCGAGACTGTGCTCTCTGGTGGCGGAGCTAGGTTACGAAGGCGCCGGAAAATTAGACCCCGACAGCTTCGAATGGCCGTTCCAGTACGACGATGCCCGTCCTATCCTCGACTGGATCTGTTCCTCTCTTCGTCCCTCCAATGTCCTCTCTCTCGCCGAACTCTCCCTGTGTGTTTTCTTTTCCACTCTCATTCTCGATTTACGTTCATTCTGCTTCCAGAACTCGAATGTTTCACTTCTCAATGTTGCTTTTTTTTTTCCTTCCAGATTCGGTTGAAATTGTGTTAGTTTTGGTAAATTAGGTATATGCTAGTTTGATGAAGCTCGTATTGTCGCAATTAGAACAAGCCTTGTGGTTATACCATCGATTATTGTTGCTAGCTAGCTTATTTTCTCATTGATCAATGCTATTCTGCATTTTAGTTTTGTGGAACAATGAATCCGATGTAATTCCTCTGCTCTCTGGCATGTACTTCTTCAGATGCATATTAGATTCTTTGTCAATTTTTTTCTAGATGCAGCCAAATATAAAGGTTTTTAGTTGTATATGCGCTGAAGAATTTTGTGAATCCATCCTAGCTACTCTTTGTCATGTATTTTGGTGGTTGTACTTTAAGATGCTTCTTGCTGTGTAGTTAGTTCATATATCAGTGGTTAATGAGTTGCTCTCTTATTTCTATATCCAGCTATGAGCAATTTCAAAAAGAAGGGAAGCTCTTAGAGGTAACTCCTTGTGCCATTATGCTTATGTTTTTTCCTTTTATTTTTTTTTTCTGGCTGTGGAAGTTCATCAAACCTATATGCATGCGTCTAAGATGTTACTTTCCTTTCTCTCTTATGGTGCATTACTTTTTTTTAATGGATTCAGGGCGAGGATCTTGACCAGGCCTATGATAGCATATCAGCTTTTTCTTCCAGGAGAAATAACCAGGAGGCGGTTTTTGGAGCAGAAGAAAGCTTAAAAGAAGTAAGGTTAGACCTTCATTTCGCACATGCAATTCTGTACTTTCTGTTTCATGCTTTTATAAGTTTATTGAGGAAAATTTTCCAAGGACTTAGTTTCACGTCACTGGGAATAAGTATAACTGTCCATTTGTCTCAGATCTTCTTAGGTGGCACGAGCATATCATCTGTACACTAAGTTTTATTGACCTGTGATGCACTGTTAAAATGTTTCTTTTCCTTGTGAGAAATGGAGTTTTTTTCAGAACTTTAGTTTCAAGTCACTTATCTCGGTAGGTCACCATGCGTTTTCATGAGTGCACGAGGTTTGTTTGACCTTCTGGTGTTTTAAATATTTGTATTTTGTTATTCCCTATGGTAAATTTATGTAATTTTTTCAGGGACTTTAGTTTCAGATCACTTGGATTTTTAAGTATGACTACACTCATGTTCTTATTCTGTGATATATATCCTTATCTCATCAGATGTGTTCATAAGTGCACTAGGTTTTGTTTATCTAGTCGTGTATTTCAATCATTACACCAACACCACTTATACTTTCTTTTAATCGATAGAGATGCAACTTTGGCGCATAAGGCTGAAGCATTGGAGTTGCAGAGGCAGCTAAGGCGCTTACAGACTCAATATGATTTACTCACTGGCCAATCTTCAGCTCTGATTCAAGGAAGACGTGCTCGAGTTGCTGCAACTTCTGCTGTCTCTGGACAGATAACAGCTATTGAAGACAGCTTATCTGCTAGAAATTTGCAGGTTTGATACACGCCCTCACACAATTGTAAAGTAGAATCTGCAATTATTTTGGTCTTTGATAAATTTTTGTGATGTTTCCTTTCGGAACTTTCCTGTGATTTAGATGAATGGAGTTCTAGGAAGACTGGCTTCCACTTCTCAAGAGCTGGCGCATTATCATTCCGGCGAAGGTGTCCTTTCTACCCCTTCTCTATCTTTTGGTTGAACTTCTCCATATCTGGTGAACTATAATACATCTGGTTTGCAGCGGAAATTAATTGGCTTAAATACAGTATACTTTTGATTTGTCAACATGGTTTAGGAACTTTTAGCTGCATAAGATAGTTGCTTATCTAGTAGTTAGTTTGAAAGATCAATTTAGTTGGATTGGGTTTCTGTTTGTACTTTGTACCTAGAATTTCATTTATGGAAATTCTCTGTTAGTTATCTGTGTTAAGAGTTTCATGGGCAGCAAGTTGTATTCTCCGTAGACATTTCTTTTGGTTGATAGACAAAGAAGTGGGTTTTGACAGCTGTTTCAGCAAAACGGTTTTCTAACTGATTATTTGTTTGGAGTATGGATCATAGTAAATTTTCATCAACTCTTTTTGTCAACTTAATTGGCTATTTATGTGCAGAGGATGGAATCTACTTAGCATACTCCGATTTTCATGCCTACTTGGCTGGAGATTCAGTTTGCACAAAAGAGCTAAATCAGTGGTTTTCTAAGCAGCTGGACACAGTAAGTGGTGAATACATTGCTAATGGTTTTAATATCTTTTAGTCATATAGAAGAGTCAAGCTAGTTAAGATCTTATCCTTAGTATCTTGTGAGAAATGCTACGGTTTGATGATTTCTGAGAATGGAGAAAATATCAGCCGTTATTTGTCTTGCACCTATTATGTTCTCATTTATGTTCTTTATCTGCTATCATGTCAGGGGCCATACCGTTTAGTTGCAGAGGAAGGAAAATCGAAATGCTCATGGGTTAGTCTTGATGATACTTCAAACATGTTGCGAGGTAATGTTCCTACAATGTGAATTTTGTTTTTCAGAAATACTATTGTTTTGCCTGAAATTCTTATATCCTTTTGCAGTTATGTAACTTTCCTCTGTATTATAAAAATCCTACATGTTGCATTTAGAAGAGTTATTTATGGTGCATAATTCTTACTTGTTTGAGGCTATTGTGCATCTATAAATTTTCTGTTTACAATGCAGCAGACTTGGAAAAGTCACAACATCAACGTGTATCTGAACTGCAACGGCTTCGATCCATGTATGTAATATGTGGTAGTCCAGGAATATATCTTTCAGCTTTCACTCTGACCTTTACACTGGATTTGCTTTGAAATTTTTATCAAGTTTTGTCATCCAGAAAAAAAATGTTTGTGTAAAGGCTCTCTCATGCTACTCGGGGCATACTAAAAAAATACTGGAAACCACTTATCGCATAGACAACTTTGGAATTGTTACGCATACAAGATCTCATTCTCCAAGCCGTTTTCTTATTATTCACAGCTTTGGAACAAGTGAGAGACAATGGATTGAAGCACAGGTCGAGAATGCTAAGCAACAAGCTATTCTCTTGACACTCAAGTCTCAAGTAACATCAGTTGAAGCTCATATTCATTTTGATCTACATTCTTTAAGGTAGAAAAACATGAAACATTGAAGCAAGACATTGATAAAATTATCGTTGAATCTGTAACTTGTTAACTGTAAACTGTATTCGGGTGACCATGTTCTTATCTTTACAGGAGAAAACATGCCGATCTAGTCGAAGAAATCTCTACCCTGTATCAGAAAGAAGAAAAACTCTTATCTGAGGTCGGTTCATGTACTCAGTTCTTGACATTTCAAGTTTCCTGTTTCTAAACTATAACAAGTAGGCATTTCTTTGGGTAGCTACATATTTGCTTATTCTGTTCTTCTTTTTAGACTATTCCTGAACTATGTTGGGAGCTCGCTCAACTCCAGGACACCTATATCTTGCAAGGTATTCAGCATTTACTATTTATTATTTACCTGTAGCTCTTGAATAGTTTTGGGCTTTCATATGATTTTGCTCATCACAACCTTGTAGGTGACTACGATCTAAAGGTCATGCGTCAAGAGCTGTATATTAGTAAACAGAAAGTGGTATGTTGGCCTTAAGTTTTCCTTAATTCTTCAAGATATGTTGGCCACAAGACAGCGTGTTTTCCATGTTTGAGATATCAATCTCTACCTGTCATCCTGTCATCAATATTTTGATTTTTTTTTTCTCACAGTTCATCAACCATCTGGTGAATCAGCTTGCAAGACACCAGTTTCTGAAATTAGCTTGTCAGTTAGAAAAGAAAAACATGCTTGGAGCATTCTCTTTGCTAAAAGTAATTGAATCCGAACTTCAGGGTTACCTCTCTGCCACAAGAAGCCGCGTGGTATGGTCATATCCATAGTTACATTCCATCCTTTTTTTTTAAGGGGTAAAATTTGCATTCCCTCCTTTCTGCAACAATTGGATAAAGAAACTAATTTATCTTTCCACTATATATCCAGGGGCGGTGTTTGGCTCTGATCCAAGCTGCTTCTGACGTGCAAGAACAGGGGGCAGTGGATGACCGTGACAGCTTTTTACATGGAGTTAGAGATCTATTGAGCATTCACTCAAGTAGTCAACACTACCATTTTTACATAATTATTCCCCTTATCTGATATCTCGTAACCTTGTTTAAGCTGATGATCTTCATCATCTCCTGTAATAGATGCCCAAGCTGGATTACAGACCTATGTCTCAGCTCCAGCCATCATTCAGCAGATTGTTGCTCTTCAATCGGATCTATCGTCTCTTCAGTCTGACCTCGAGAATTCCCTTCCTGATGACAGAAATAGATGCATTAACGAGCTGTGAGTCACCATTAACCTAAAATCTTCATAAATTCCTCACGCTCTTCCACAGAAATAAGTATATATGTGCTCATATATCATTCTATTCTGTCTCAGGTGTACTCTTATTCAGAACCTGCAGCAACTACTCTTTGCGTCGTCAACTACAGCTCAACCCATATTGACACCATGGGTAAATACCAATAACCATTTTAGCCCTTAGTCTAAAACCGATAACTTAAAGTTTAACTCGTGTTGTTTCTCCATGCAACATTAGCCGCTGATGAAAGAACTTGATGAAATGGGGAAAATCAACTCCAAACTCTCTGCAGCGGTGGAAGAGGTCACGCTTGAGCACCGCGAGAAAAGGGAGGCGAGTCTTAATTCTCTATTCATTTTAAGTCCTCTCCTGCAAATGGTGATATCTATATCATAGTGAAATTGAACAAAACCAGCTCCATTTGGTTTACTACTTTGCTGCAGATCGTGAAGCATCATTCCAAGGACGTGGAACTTCAAAGACGTGTATTTGTAGACTTCTTCTGTAATCCCGAGCGGTTGAGAAGCCAAGTGAGGGAACTCAATGCACTCGTTCGTGCTCGCCAAGCCTCGTCATAGGTCCTCAACACAAGTACATAGCACAAGTGATCTCTCTTAGTTTTCCAAGTTTGCATTGTCACTTGCTCTATGATTGCATACAGGGGTCTTTATGTAGTGGTTGATTGCTTCTTCAAGATGGTCTATTTCACAAATTGCTTTAC